CTCACATTCCCGGGGCGGGGGGGGGGGGGGGGGGATTTGCAGCTGCATCAAGCACATAATCTGGAAATAAGGGGGGGAGGGGAGGCCTTTTCTTGTTCGTCTGCCCCTGCCGCGTCATGTACACCAACGCATGCTCCGCGTGACAGACACGTCAGTAGTAGTTGGGTAGGGGAGGCGAGCCTTGCGGCCAAAACCAGCACTGGAAATTCCCGTGCATCTCATCGTTTACGGAACTCTTCCACCATCCCTTTTCTCTCTGTCTCTGTCTCTTGTCAATACAACGTAAAACAGAAGAAATGCACAAACACAGCTGACGTCAAAGTCATTGGCCAGCCCGATAGTGCCGTCGATGGCAATTGAAGTAACATACACACACATCTCTTACGCGCTAGGACTGGCGTCGTTTGATCGGGCACCCGATGAGCGACGAAGATACAAATGATGAACAGTAACACGTGTACAGCAGCATACACTGTCGCCCAACATCTGCGCCCCCCCCTGACGATAGAGGACCCTTGGCCTAGAAAGCGTTTTCTTTAAAACGCCGCAAAAGATTGACGGCGTCTTGTCATTGGTCAGCCGGTTACTGTGTACTGCTGTAGCACGTTCGATGCTAATTTCAAACACACACACACAAATATCAAGCAAACCCGGCACAAAGGCAGACGATTGCGTCCATCTCACCTGCAAAGGGTCCCTTGGACTTGTCCGAGGCCAGGTAGCAGGTGGGACCGCTTCCGACGCTCTGGCCGTACAGGATCAAACCATGCCCCTGAGATAAGAGGGAGGGAAAAATGTTTTTCCAAATCGGAAAGTTCGCCACGAACAAAAAAAACTTACTTCATCAGGCAGGGGGCATGCATGCATGCATCAGAAAGCGCTCCCGCGTGAGGGAGGGGTGTGCGCTGCACTCTCATGTTTTGGATGCCTTAGCGGTTAGGCCATTGAGACGACGGACAATTGTTCCCAAAGGACCGATCACCGACAGCAGATCGTTCCTGCCTAGTTGGCCAAAGGGGGGGGGTTAGGGTGGGGGAGCACCACACGCTTTGTACGGGAAAACGCCGCTGATTGTACCGACGAGTCGCCGGGCGTGCAAACGACGTCTCCAGCGTAAAAAGACCGATCACAGCAGTATCTGTATATTTTTCCAAAGGTGGGAACATACGGCCTCAAAATCTCACGTACCAGTATATCGCATCACATCGTGTATTTACCTTGATCCTGTGAGGTTTAATTCAAATCTCAACATCAACAGGATGCTTTTTTCACCTTATTTTTCCCGCTGCCGTCTTCTCCCTCCTGCAGCACATTTTTTCGCGCCCACGCACACACCGCCTCTATATCTCTGTACGTCCGGGCTTCCGTGGGAGAGCCGCTGTTTCGAACAAGAAGCAAGGACAGAAAAAACACACGCACGTGGATGACGGTTCAGGGAGCGGGCGGGCGGTGTAGTCATAGTCGTCCATGCCTGTAGTCGTAAGACCATTGACCTCGCACCAGACCCTTCTCCCACGATCGACCGAGGGGAGCAAAATGAGACTACACGTGAACACACACCTTCGACAAAAAAAAAAAAAAGACCAACACCATGGTGCTACCACACACATGGGAACCCAATACTGTCGCCGGGTGTGGAATGTTCTCTGTCGTTTTTATCACTGCTGTGTTACACATGATGTGGGTTTTACATGCTATCCTGCGACCGCTGAAAATGGGGTGCCCGACAAAAAATCAAGACCACGCAAGCACAGACGACAGGGCGTGACATCAAAAGGACCGATCCAAAATCGGTACAAGAGGCCACACAGAAGCACTCGCAGCAATAAAAACAGCTACAACATGAACTCATCGCTGATTCATCCTGGACGCTAGTCTGTGGGTAGAGATGAAGTAATTCCCTCGTGTTTTTGTGAGCCAAAAAAAAAAAAAAGAGAAAAAGCGTGACGGGGAGAGCGCGTTCCTCCCACGCACCAACCATGTACACATGCATACCTTGCGCGCCCGTACCCCGTGTAGTCGTACGCCAGAACGTTCACCCCGACGGCCTCCGCGATCCCCGCGCACCGGTCGTGCATCGCCCCGATGTCGGTCGCGTTCCCGTGGCTGTAGACAAGCGTGTACCTGGCGTTCGCCGTGCGGTACAATGCCACTGGGATGGTGGACCCCCGCCCGCCTCCCCCGATCTTCCCGACCTTGGCGAAGCCACCGCTGCTGCTGCCGCCACCGCCGCCCCCTTTCCCCCCGGCTGCCTTGCTGTTGCTTTTGCCCTTGTTGTTTGGATTGGCGACCGCCGTCAAGACCGGTTCTCCGCATTGGCTCCCGCTGACTCCGGAGACGATTGTCGCGATTTCTACGCCCTCGGTTGTCGCCGTTGCCTGGGTGGTCACACGCGTCATGGTGCAAAAGAGAGAGGCGGTCAGCCAGGAAAGTGCCACCTGCTGTCAAGACAGCAGCTACATGAGCCGCTGCTACGCAAGATGCGCCAATCAAGAGCTAAACCACCTCCAGGACCCGCGGTCGTTCGGCTTCCTATGGCTGGTGAATGCGATACATGTGGGCGTCAAGACGTACATGTTCATCGTTTGACGCCCCCCTGTCTCTGCAAGAGTACTGAGGGGGGGGGGGGGGCAAAACTGCTGCTGAAAAGGGCGGGGACGGGGGGCAAACTCGGAAATGTGGGCGTGGGAGCCTAGTTAGGGGGCCTCCACCGACCTAAACGGCTACCCAATGACAAGTCATCAGGCCATTTCGGGGGGGACAAAAAAAAAAGGTCAACCCCCTTTCTTTTCCACGGGGGGGGGGGCCCGGGAAATCTTTGCCCGTGTTTGGGAGGGGGGGGGGGGGCCAAAACCACTAATTCCCTCC